AGCTGTTTTTCTTTTCTTCTTTCTCACTTTGCTACTGTTTTGAGTGTTTTGTATATTTGGTATAGATTGCCAATGGAAAAGTCTGCTTTGATATTGTTTTATTTTAGTCCCCCCAAACACACCAATGAAAAATACCAATATTGCTCTTTTGAATACAGTTCTAGAACTTGATGTTAGAATGAGCATACGTGTACAAATACTTGTCTACCACTTAAAAATAATGCAAAATTTAAGTTCAAGTCTTGCTTTCAAAGTACTGTTATCTTGAAAATATAGCTGTTTTCAAGCTAAAAATGTTTGCACTACTGAAATATATGCAAGACTGCTGTGTTTTATTGGAGCAATGTAATTTAGTTATAAAGTCTGCATTTCACTGTAATTTATATGCTGTTTTATTTTATAGGTTTCATTCCCTGCTGATAGGATATATGCTTAGTCAGTGATAGGAAGAAGTTTTATTATCAGCTATTACATAGCTGATAATTATACACTTCTCTTCACATTGCCACAAGATGTTTTTGCACAGTAAAGTATATACGTGTGAACACAGTAATAGTTCTTCATATTTCCCTTCTGGCAAACAATAGTACTTTTGTTCTGCTCAGTATTTTATTTTTTTAAAGATCTGTAAGTGTGGGTGTTTAAATTATGGGTGTGAATAAATGGCAAATGTACATTTAAAAAGAGGGGGGAGAATAAATTCAATAAACTTCTTCAGAGAGCTACCTTTTATTTTTATAGTTTTTTTATGTGGACCCTTGCTTACAACATTCTTAGTGTTGAAATTGTCTTGGGCATGTATGTTGAGTTAATGTAGCATAGTTTCACATGTGTGTAATTTTGGGGAAAGGAGAGAGAATGGCCAAAGGTCTACTCAGGTGAAAATGATTAGAATTCTTGTATATGCACACGTGCTTCATGCTTTGTGGCCCTTTGTGAATCCTGGAGCACACACTCATGGCTGAGCTGGGGGTATGGGGAGATGAGGGGAGGCTGTGTGGAGTTGTAGGCTGTGCTGTAAACTGGGCTCCCAAATACATGGGAGTCAGATGAATAATCTTATTTCACGTGTCTGGGGTAATATTCTGGTCTTGCTTTGGTTTTTGCACTCTTCTGTGTCTAAACTTTACCCTATCCCACTTACCTATCTATCCAATAAGTATTGCTGGTTTTTAGTGCCTTTTCTTGGCACTAACTTGGAAATCATAGAAAAGATAAGAGTGATAAAGGAGGTATTATTACTGAAGAAATAAAGCAGACCTAGTCCTGTTGCCAGTTTCATTTGACCTTGCCACAGAATTATGTGGTCATACATTGTAATTGATATCAACAGTGATCTTAAGAATTATGTGAGAGGAAGTTCTCATTCCCAGAAAGGTCAGGCCAGGTCAAAAGCATGCCAACTTTGATATTTTCTACCAAATTTTATGCCAAATACTAATTGCTGAATTGGTATAAGTGGTCAATCTTGGTGCAAACCGCCAGGTATAAAAGTGCAGGAAGTTTTACTCAATATATAAGCAATGAACATTGTTTCTTAGAATGTTGATTGTAACATAAAAAAGGTTAGAATAGGTAACTATAATCTTAGAAGTCTTTCACCGTGTGAGTGTTCATATCCAGGGGCTGATCAGGGTTACACAAGTTCAAAAAAACCTTAAAGCACTTAGGAAGAGTAAATGAATAAAAGAAGAAATGAAATAGGGGTGAAACTGTGTCTGATAGTCATGTTTACTATTTCTAGAACAGCATTATTTCTCAAAACGGATCATGTAACTCAAAATTATCTAGACAATTAAAAAAAGTCTATTTGCAAAAGAATCAATAAAGATTCATATCTGGGAAGGATATACTTCCTTAAGTTGTTAGAAAGATTTCAGAATTCATTCAAGATCATTACTTTCCTTTACAGAAAAAGGTAAAGTTAAATTGTATTTACCATCTCATATCCAATATAGTACAGAAGAGAGGATGCACAGGCTTGATGTGCTCTAAAAAGGAATTGGGCTCTCTGCCATGACAAGTATGATACTACACATGCAGCAGAGCACCCAGGCAGTCCAGGCACAAAAGTCTCTCCAAATGTTGTTAGGAGAGATAATTTAAGAAATTTAATGACATGAGATAAGCAACAGTGCAGCCTGGACTATACAAGAATCATCAAGCCTTCATTTATGCTCTGAAGTGTTTAAAGAACAAGAAGTTTACAACTGGATTTTTTCTTTCTAAACTAGGAATTGAAAAGACATAAAAGAGTGATTATTGTTGTAGCCTAACTGCAGTACTCTGAGTGTATGTTATAAAGACATGTAATTGAAAATATACTCAGTAAATAGTTATGAAACCAAGACAGGCAGACTGAAAATGGCAGATGTACACTGAATACAAGTACTGGGGATGTTGTCTGTTACTGGAAGGGTTCCTATTTATGATTTCAAACTGCTGGAATCTATAACTTCTGTGCTCGTAACTTCTCTATGTTTCTGTTTAGTGTGCTCAATATTCTTGAAAAGTAAACCCTTTATCTAGAGATTTTGTTTTATAACTATAATTAGAAATATGTGTTGTATAGTTTTGGTAAATGTTCAGGTAGCCTACATGTGTTTTTTTCTTAAAATTGATTGTTTTCCAATAGTCATTTATGTGTTTCACCTAAATAGATCTTTGAAAGTACATATTCTTAATTACATTTCACAGTTCTACATTGCACCTTTAAATTAAAAAAATATAATTTCCTTTCTGTGCTCTCTAGTTGTTCCTTAGATAATTATGCAGTTTTGTAATCTGCAGATGGCCCCTTTTTTCAATGGAATAATTTGCTTCAAGCAACAAAATATTAAAACATTATAGCCAATATGAAAGGCTGTATAGTTGTTCCTAGTGAGCTTGTCTGATGATTGGTATTTTGCCAGTGTCTTTTGAATGCTTTTAATACAGGTGTGTTTTGAAAGGATTCCATTGATCTGTTTCTCTAGAGTTGCACAAGGGACCTGTGAAGATGTACAGAATTATCCTGCACGCTGGCTTAGCTCAGTGGGAGAACATGTCCTTCTGCTTGTGCTGCTCTGTATTTTCTGCTCCTCTTAAAAGATAGCTGACAAGAACTGTTTAAAAATAGCAGGCCAAGGGCAGGTGACAAAATGTCACACAAGCAGCACCTGGTCCAGTGACAGCCTGGAGGGAGGAAAAAACCAAACCCAGATGTCACAGATAGGATTCTATTTCTGAGGCTGGTCAAACAGCAGAATTTCAGCTTCAGCAGAGGAAAAGAGAAGGACCCATCCAAGCATATGCATTCAAAATTTGTTCATTTTTTTCATAGTGGTTTCTTTTATTTCTTCTATTTCAAGTATTAATTGTAAAGTACAAATTAGTACAGTCACCTTTTCTCTTTACAAGTAGTACCTGTAACCTCACATTCTTTAGTACAGTGTCAAGGAAAAGGGAATTAATGTCCATCTGGAGAGATGTCTGAAGTATTTCAGCAAAGGTTATACTAAATGAAATAATAGCAGCTTTAATGTTTCTGCAGTGCCAGATTAATGTGAAAATATGTATAGGAGAATTATGTCTGTAATTAGGAAATATGGGTAATGAAGATCATCTCTTTAATAAGCTTTGCTCAAGGAGTTGGAAAGTAGAAATGGAAATTATATATATCTTCTTTTCCCCACTTCTTTCTGGAGGTGCTCTTTGCTTCATAGCCTTATTGTGGTGGCATTTTTTTTCTTAAAGAAGCAGATAACATCAATGTGAAGAAAAGATTAATTTACTTTTCTTAACCTGCTTATAACTTAGTTTCAGAAGTGTATTGAAACTTCATGCTGCATCTGTTCAGAAAGAATATTTATTACAGCACAGCAGTTTCAGTGACTGGAAATAGAAGGCTTTAAGTATCAATAGGAACTAAAAATGTTGGAGAGGATTTGCTTTAGATCTGCTCTGCCAGAGTCTGTTAAAACTTGAGTACAGGAACATAACCATTATATTGGTCTTTCAGTGTAGTGAGTGGATCCTATATTTGAGTTCCCATGCAGTGAAGAAATGTGAAGTGACCTCTTGCTTAGTTCCCAAACTTAGCCACAGACCTAGAGATAGGAAAAGCCTATGAAATGGAATTGCATTATTTACATGAAGTTACTAGCTTTACTTAATTGTAGTCATGTAAACATTTAATTATCCTTTTATATCTTTTTCCAAGTAAGGACTAATACAAATCACAGCTTGCAGATTTTCTTGGGTGGTTTAATTTAAAAAGTCCTATGACAAACTGTCTTCAGGTTAAGTTTTCATACTCCAGCTCAGTTGAAAGTGTCCAAAACTAATCTGAACAGCACTGCTGCTGTTGGCTCATTTCTTGCTTTAATATAAGAATAGGTTTCTCTGGATTAGGTCTCCTTTAGGTCAAGAATATCTATTTTTCAAAGTACATATGAATGTACTACTTGAGAGCAATATTCCTTCCAACCCAGTGTCTTACCTCAAATGGTAGGTGATGGGAGATTCTTAGGGAAGAATGCAAAAGCAGGGTAAGAACTCTCTTTCCAACTATCTGTTAACTTGAAAGCTTCTGGTGCTGCATGTAGTATAAAAAAAACAGTAATAGAAAAATAGTGATTTCTTTTTTTACCAATTAAATGCAGTTTTGTAATGCTATACTTGTTATTGGAAGGCAACTATAAATGGCAAACCTGCAGCAAGGTTGAACTTGAGGCCTTGTTTTGAAAGGGTAAGCATAATGCTTTCTTAGTGCAAAGTAAAGGAATGTACTGAAATAATTGTTTCCTTGTTTATTTTTTGATTTTCAGTATTTTAAGTACGTAATACTGAAGGTACTATGGTGTTAAATATTTTAAATGTGTATTCTTGGGAAGTTGTCTTCAACAGATGGAAGATTCAGCTACCCTGATTGTTCATTCCCTTTAGAAATTTTTCATATTAATGAATTTAATTTAATTTTGAAATAAACCCGTTGAAAATAGCTTTTGCTTACATTGCAGGGCGTATGGGAATAAACTTCCATCATCCAGGAACAGACAATATTATGGCTCTTAATAGTAAGTAGTTAATGTCTGGTGATTTATATTGCCATGTTGAATATTATTTCTTACATCTATTGTGTGTGTAGCTGCACAGTCAGACATAAATATGTGTAATGTTTTCATGGAAGTTCATGTTCACTCTCTGAAAATGCTTTTCATAAATCAGTCACCTCTGATTCTTTATATTAGCTTTGTAGTGGCTTTATGTGTTTCACTGGAAGCTTCATAATGCCTGCTATGGAAAATATTACAGAGCACTCTCTCTTGTTCCCTGTTTTGTGGGTGTGTATGTGTGTTAAAGCTGTAACTTTAATTTCTGATACCTCTCCAGACATGTTCTTTCCTGTTGGGATGAGCTGTTACAAGTTTTGCATACAATTACATGGACCCATGGTGTTTGCTTTGTTGGTTTCCATTATGTAGACAGGAACTGGGAGAATGTTTAGACATCTAAATAATGAGGGAAAACTGCACTTCACTGAGAGATTATTGCTTTTTTTGTGTCAGGAAATAAAAGTAAAATTAAAAGTCCAGTCATGAACATACAGACTCAAAAAATCTGGCAGGATAGATCTGGAAGACAGTTCCTGTGTGGGGAGGGTGGGGGACAGGCATAATGTTGAACTGAACTATGCAAATCAAAGCAGAGTATTTGTCTGTCTAATCCTGAGAAATGCTGTTTTGAAATGTCCATTTCTGTTTACAATGTTGTATTGGACATGTTAGGATTATTTATGAACTTTGCTAAAATATTTTGCCTTTGCACTGTCTATGCAAGTGAGACTGTGTATAGCTGAAAACTGCAGGGGTCTTTTTGTGTAATACCAAGCAAAGAATAATTTATAGATGTGAAGACCCAAAAATTTGTGATAGACATGATGCAAGGTGTTTAAGATTTGGCTTTAAAGACCAGATTTTGAAAAGTGTAAGACTTTGCTCATGTTCTTCTTAGTTTTGCACTATTAATGGTGAGGTGATATTTTGGGGAGTTCTTGTCATAGTTAGCATTTAAATCCCATTTTCTTATGGCACATGAAATTATGGGAAATCAAATAAATAACTTGGAGAAATGTTTTTTTAATTAAAGACTTTATTAAAAGAGGAAGCCTTCATGCCTCTCTGTGTAAATGAGGTCTACACAGTCCAGTTGTCAGGTGTTTGACATGAATTCTGGTCTCAGAATGTATTTTTTCTGAAGTGGGCATTTCAACAATCTAATTGCAATAGAAATATATTTGTGACGATGGGATACTGTGAATTTTGAGTTACCTTTAAAAATTGATAGTTATGATGAAATATAGTATTATTTCTTACCAAGTCTAACAGATATTTTTGAAAGATAGGAATGAAAAACTGAAACAGAAAGTTATACTATTTTGGGACAACTTGCTTTTATCTTAAATGAATGATGTGTTTTATTCTGATTTCTTTTGGATGAAAAGAATGAAAATAGCCTTTTTCCTGTCTAATTTCTTTGAAATTTTTGCAGCAGCTATATACTCAGTTTATAAAAAACAATTATCTTTGGTAGTTATAGTCCTGGTACATGGTTAAAATATCAGCATAGCTAACAGAGGGACCAGAATATTTATTTATGCATTTGCACTGTTTAAAATATTATGGGTTTGTTCAAATATTACCTGTTTAAAGACTCAAATAAGGCTGTAATCATAAATATGAAATTTATACAAAATTAAATTAAACACAAATCCAAAGTCTGAATAAGTTCCCATATATTTTTCCTCTTCTGTAACTCTTCTAGGTAAGGCCACACCATTTTTGGCCATCAATGAGAGCCCTAAGCTAGAATTTATTGTACTGTGAAACCTGTTGGATTTTGCTTTTAAATCTTTGAAGAGCTAAGAATAAAAGCAAATATTCAAGTACACAAGCTTAAAAATTACTTTCCATGATTGAAATCCTTTTTTGTATGTAGCTAAACTTGAAAAAATTAGAACTAGGTAATTCCCATGTCATTCATTACCTGTCCCCTTTTGTGGGGAAATATACCAAGGAAAATTAGTTTAAGAAGAAATACTCTTTTCTGCGATGGAATAGCAGAGATTTGGGTTAAAAAAATAAAATAAGTTGAATAAAAATTCCCAAAAGATACTTTATCACAGTATTTTTTGGAATAATTTTGAGAACTTATATAATGTCTTTAAATCATAATACTTGTCATATCTATGTTTAATTTCTGTGAAACCAAACGCTCTCTGCTGAGTCTGCAAATCCAACCTTCACATTCTATTTCAAGTCATTGCTTCATAAGCAATTTTTCCCTTTTCCTGTGAAGACATAGTAATAATCTTGAAGATTTATTACTCAAAGCTCAATTTCACACTGACAATGTAGGCAATCTTTTGAAGCTGGAAGACAACATATGCTCATGCCAACAGCAATGCAAAACTTCACATGCTGTAGGGAGAGGGGAAGTTTTCTGGAGGATGTTTATCTCTAGCTCCTTCTCCTCTGTGGCAGCACTTTGAACTGTACTTCAGCTGTTATTCCTGTGTACCCATTACAGCCTTTTCAGTCTGGGGCTTTGCCTGCCTGTCTTGAGCTGCTGTCTGTCAATGTTGGAGGGCATTGTTTGGTTTGAGGGAAGGTGTTGCCTAGCTGGCAGCACAGGGGGAGCATGCCACCACCATTCTGTTCATCATTTTAGCAAGGCTGAACCATCACCATCTTAAAACACCTAGTTCTGAAATAATGAAGCTTACGGGGTAAATTATATTACTTTGAAATGCATAATTATTATGAATCTCTTTGTGTCATTAGTGGCATTATGCTTATGTACATACAGAGTTGCACATGTGTATAAACATGTTTATATTATAAATGCTCAGTTCAGAATTAGGCTTCTGTTGAGGAATGCAATGTTCAAATATCCAGAGAGATGTGAGAATAATCCTAAAGAGCATCTTAAACAAAAGGAAGATGTAAATATTAGATTGGAAGCATTTTTGAAGGCAAAATGATGCAGCTTTTGTCTGTACTAGATCTAAATGAAATTTCTCTAATTGAGATAGTATTTTGAATCAATTAGTGCCATAAAGTAATTTTTAGTCGTATCATTCATACTGAGCTGAACAATACAAGAATTTTTTTAAACTTCCATCTACAGCACCTTATAAAAATAATTGATGCTGTAATTTATAGGGGAAATGTGGCATAAATTCAACTCAAACGTGTCCTCTATCCTCTTGCTAATATTCAGTACCTTTTGTAGCCGTACATTTCTGCATCCATTGCTTCTCCTGAATATATATATGCTCCTGTCTAATTACCTGAGTAATTAGGACTGAGTGATCAACATGAATGCATGGTTACCTACATGGTAGGAGGTGAGCTGTCTTTAGGGCTTGCTGAGAGCTCCAGAAAGCCACGATAACATCAGGGGGAGAGAAAGGCCCGTGGAAAATGGAGATGGGAATAAATGAGGGTGTGTGATTTCAATAAGGGAGCACTGAAGTGTTGTGCTGGGATCCCAAACAGTCTTCTTTAAAATAAATGTAGTCTAAAGGTAGTTAAATAAAGAAATGAGAAACCCCTTTGTGAAATGCTGGAATTTTGTTTTTCGTAAAGCTCCTCTGTACAGTGACTTTTCAGTCCTGTTGGGCTACAAATGTTCCATCTGCTTCCACTGTTCATTCTTGTCTCATACAAAAATGTGTCATCTGTGAGGTCTGGTACTATTTGCTCTCCATATGACTGTCTTTTCATTAGTGTAATTTAGTTCTATTTATTCAGAGTAAAATAATTTGAAAAAGACATTAAGGAAGGGATTTTAAGATGTGTATGTTGAGATTTTGGTTTTGTTTTATTAATCCCATTTATGTGGGGAAGTTGTCATGCCATGACAGGAAATGTCATGACAACAAAACTATTTCAGTTTTATTTTCATGTTTCTGTTGTTTGTAAAATTGCCTTTCTCCTTAAGAGCTATTGTACTTCACTCTTCCTGATGTGTTGTTTTCAAACACATATAGTGTTTAGATAGAGAAGTTGCTGAAGTAGCATTTTATATTTAAAAGTTTTGCTAATGCTACTGTTCTATCTTGAAATAAACTGCTCCAAATAGAAAGCTTGTTGAATTACTTTTGTCTTGCAAGATCTTGGGTTGGCAGTTGAATAGCTAATAAAAGCTTTCTTTTCATAGTGATAATATTCTGGGTAAATGTGTGACTAAATTCTGAGAGGCATCAATCTCATCTGATAGTTTAGTTCTTGCCTATAGGAATTTGCTGAGCTCTTCAGTGCAGTTGCCATGTTGGGTTACTGATGTGTCACCATCTTAACAGCATATAAAGAATAACAGAAAGGAATAAAAAACTCTGAGAGAACTTACAAGGTTTGCAAAACTAGACCTGATTTAGTTGTGAAGAGATCTGGGTTAATATAACTGGAGGGGAAAAGTGACAGCTTTGAAGTGTGAGATAGCAAAGGCACCGGGGTTCAGAGGAGTCCCAGAGTGTGCACGTCACCTTGTCAGGTTTTTCAGAACCAGCTGTACAAGCACTTGGTGTTGATGCTGCCTTGGAGGCTGTGAGGTGGGCTTGCTGGTATCTCCAAGTCCCTTCTATACCTATTTAAATTTTTTAAAGGGTGAAGGGGGAAGCAGGGGAGCAGTAAGTAAGTACATGCATTTTCTTCTTTCTCCCTTTCTCCCAGTTTTTTATATTGGCATCTCTACTTCCAGAGACCCATCTGGCTGTTACTGAAGGCAGGATCTCTTATCAGTGGCTGCTAAAGGCTTTTTCTAGCAGAGGAAGATTTCTTAAATCGTCTTCCTCTTAATCCAACTTGGTAGCTCTTTAATGCCTTCTTGTTTATTTGTTTGTTTCCTCCACCGCTTTTCCTGCCTCACAACCTCACCAATGTGCTTTCTTTTCATCTTTGTGATCCTCTCTATTGTGGGTTAGTGCCATCTGTTTCCTCTGAATGTTAAGATTTGCCTGGCTACTCCAAGAGCATTATATATGGTGCTAGGAGAGATGAAGCAGCCTGGCTGT